AGAAAATTGCAAAATTCTAAGTTAGATTTAAAAATTACCTAAAATTATGTTAGATTTGAGCTCATCTTAGTTGTTCTTTGTAACAAATCTTATCATTCTTTTTGTTGAGAGTGAAGCTCAGAGATTGATAGCAGTGGGCCTCTACACAAATGGAGTCTCAGATCTCAGAGAAAGAAAGAGACGCATATCTGATGAGAGTGTGCGATAGAGAATGCAGATCTGATGAGTGTGCAAGAGGAAGATAGAGAGAGAGAGAGAGAGAGAGGAGATGAGATGAGACGAAAAAGACTGAGAGAGCAAACATTTGAGCAATCAGGTTTTGTTTTTTTCTAGATGTTATGGGATTCGGCTTTACCAAATCCAACATGGTATTCTCCATTCATAATCCACTCGGTAATAGCCCAATACATCTATTATCGAGTGGATTATGAATGGAGAATACCATGTTGGATTTGGTAAAGCCGAATCCCATAATTTGTGGAATTAGGTATTCCTTTGGGAATGAATTTTAAATTCCGCAAACCAAACATTAAAATAAGCATTCCCTTGGAATGTCCATTCCATTTCTAAGGCCTAATATCATGTTTTGGACAGTGAACTAGGTGTATTCACCTTACAGTGAATTGCATGCAATTGTATTATTCAAAAAATAAATGTGTCCTTCCCTTGCAATGAATTGAATTTGACAAAATTGTAATAACTCTTTGTATCCATAATTTCACTAATCTTTGCCCCTCTTGTTGAATGATTTCTATTTTGTTATTGATTGTAATTCATTGTTTATGAAATTTTTGGACAATAAATTGGGAGTTTTATTCTATTAAAATTCAGTATTTGTGGAAATTTTGGGATAGTATGTTGTGATCAACTGTTTTTCACTGTTTTTAGGTTGAGAAATTTTTAATGTTTTTGATTTCGCTATTTTTCACAATTTTTGAGTTCACTAGTTTTTCACTATTTTTGACTTCAATAATTTTTTAAAAATTATTTTTGAGTTTACTGTTTTTCACTATTTTTGATTTCACTAATTTTTATTATTTTTGAGTTTATTATTTTCACTAATTTTGAGTTCACTATTTTTTGGTATGGATAATTTTCATGCCATTAACTATATTTTAGTAAATAATTTGAATTTTTAGTGTCTAAGATATTAAAATTAGATGAAATTTACTGTTTTCAAATTTTCTATATTTCAACACCAAGTAAATGAGATAAAATTAAGTCCCAATTTCAATGACCAAAACAGTGAAATAAGTTGAATTTTCCTTGTCTGAGATATTAAAATTTGATGAAATTCACTATTTTAAAATTTTTCATATTTCAACACCAAGTAAAATAGGTAAATAATGAAATGACCTGATTTATTTGCACCATCATTGAAACAGTAAATTTTGAAATGAAAAGTTTTATGAACTATGAGGTTCATTCTATTAAAGTTCATTATTTATATTTTTTTTTCAATATTTTTGAGTTTGTTGCTTTTGAGATATGTTTCACAATTCAAATTTTCAATATCTTTGTAGTTCATTATTTGTAAAAAATTTTAAAAGTAATGATTAGTTTCATTTTATTAAATTTTACTGTCTATAAAAATTTTATACAGTGAACAACGAATTTCATTCTATTAAATTTCATTGTTTGTAAAAATTTTGTGAACTAAGAGTTTCATTATATTAAAATTTATTATTTATGAAAATTTTGTTAACTACTAGTTTTATTATACTAAAATTCACTATTTATGTTTTTTAAAATATTTTTAAGTTCACTAATTTTTCACTGTTTTAGATGACAGATGGTTGTAATAGATTTTGGTTGGTGGTGGTTAGCGATGGGTGGTGGTTAGCGATGGGTGGTGGGTGGTGGTGGATTTTGGTTGGTGGTCATTGATGGCGATGATGGTCGTTGTGGGCAACGATGATGGTGGTAATGGATTAGTGGGCTATGGTGGTGGTGGTGGTTTGTGGTAGTGGTGACTTTGGTGGTTGCCGACGGCAATGATGGGCTGTGGTGGTGGCAGATTATGGTGGAGGTGGTTAGCAGAGATGGTGGTAGGCTATTTTTTCACAATTTTGGATAGTAATGGTTGACAACAATGGTGAGTAGTGGCTGTCGAGTGGTGGTGGTTGGTGGCGATTGTGGTTGGGGTGGGCTGATTTTTCACTGATTTGTTAATTAAGAGTTTCATTATATTAAAGTTCACTGTTTATATTTTTTCAATATTTTTGTTCATTAATTTTTCACTATTTTTAGTGGTGGTGATGATGAGCTAGTTTTTTACAATTTTGGGTGGTGGGTGATGGTGGTTGGGGACGATAGTTGGTTATGGGTGATAGGCTAGTTTTTTACTATTTTGGTGATGAGTGGTGATGGTGGCGACAGTGGTTGGTGGTGGTGGCGATGGTAGGTGGGGGCGGTGCTGGTGGTGAGTAGTGGTTAGCGGTGATGTTGGATATTGGGTTAGTTTTTTACTGTTTTGGGTGGTGGATGGAGGTGGTTGGCGGCAATGTTGACCGTTGGTGGCAATGACGGGGTGGGTGGTGATTGTGCATCTGGACCGAAAGATATTACTGCATAACCAATTATCCCTCTGCACTCCTTGAGGTGTGAAACATGCTCTGTGAACAACGAATTATGGTCCATGGTCACCCGTCACATATTACTCTTGGAACTAACTGTCTTCAGTTTCATCCAACATGGGATCTTGCTCAAATCAGTCTGATCCTCAATAAGGTCTCCACTGTTAACAAATAACCTCTTCCCAGTTCTATCAATCTTCTTGCATTCTGCCATCCTATGGCCAGTCTTGCCACACTTAAAACATCATACTTTTACTGCTATCATCGCGGGTCTATTATGTTTCACCCCTGTATGGTGGTGGCGCAACACGGGCAGTGGAAGGAACATTTACCCCACTGCAAAAACAACTACCCTAGGCGGTGTTACCCGACTTACGATTCAATTGTTTTTCTAACTATAGTGCATCAGAAATAGAATAAGGGTCAAATAAATTAAGAGTATCTTGAAAATGGAACAGCATACTTCCGGTATAACGTGATACCAGATGTTCTTCTGTCTCTGCTAGATCACTGCGGACCACCAACTAATAGAACTCCTTAGTGTACTCATCCACTGTATAAGATCCTTGGCCTAAGTTCTACAGGTTCTGATATATCGTCCTCGTGTGGTTATGGGACAGAAATGCAGCGCGCATGTGCTTCTTGAGTTTCTCCCATAAATCAATCTTCTTCTTTCCTTGTCACACTCGTGTAAGTTTAGACTATTGCCACCAAGCCGTAGCACGACCACAAAACAGAATCACGACGAGTGGGATACGTTTATTATCAGGAACTTCCTTAAACTCCAACACATCCTCCATAGCACTGAACTAATCCAGAAATTCTTCTGATTGCAAACTATCATGCAATTTCGTACATATATGTTGAGGCCCAATTCCCATCGTTTTGAACCACCGTTGTTTTCCATAGGTCTCATCTGCTTCCTCTGGAGTTAATCTTCACCAAAAGGGTTTTCAAGATCATCTCCAGTAGATTCCTCATCCACATGGAGCGGATTTAGAGGCTGAACCAGTTCTTATTGTTGGGTCATGAATGCAGCAAACTACATGGTTAATGCCGCAACCAGTTGTGATAATCTGGAAACTTCCTCATGCTCATACACATCTCTGACAACGGTCTCTATTACAACAAGAAGATGTCTTCTTGGCGGCATATAGCAAGAACGAATGTAGGCTCTGATACCAACTAGTGGAGGGTAGCTTCAATAAAGAAACAAGATCAAACAATAGAAATTAAATTCTGTTGATTATTGCAATAATACTAGATTAAAATTTTCAAGAATCTTGTTGATTCATAAGAATACCAAGTCAATTGAAAATTGAAAGAAAACTTGTGTCTAAGTTTTATTCATAATAAATCAAAGCTGCTGAATTAGTTTTCAACACCATATAAATAAAAAACTCCAATGGTTCTAAATTATTAAAAAAAAAAAAAATTACGCAATATTACAAAAATACCCTAACAAACGGGATAAAACAAAAAGACAAATATGCATTTTTATGAAAATAACCCAAATAGAAACCCTAACATCGCTTCACTTCTCCGTAATATTAAAGCGTGGTTCATATATTCTAAGACCAATAAACTCATACAAATTTTAACTTTTATATTTATTTCAATTTTTTTTTTAGCTTGTCTAATTTTTTTTTTTTCTTTCTTTTTATCTTCAACAAATAACTATCTTAATCACATTTGATCGAAGATTCGAATCTTGTTAATGAAATTTTAATGTATTAAACTAGAATTTAAATTTTAATTAATATTTTTGAATCTCAAAAAATAAAAATTAGATAACATATTTAACTTATTTTAAAATTATATATATATATATATATATATATATATATTTATATATATTATTATATTAAAAATTTTAGGGTCTAATTTAATATTTTTCGCCTAGGCCCCCACATATGTTGGGCGCCCCCCTGGTAACGTCATGGATGGCGTAGGCATTAGGAGAAGAAAGTTCTTGACTACCTACGCAGGTGAGAGTTTATTATGTCGTTTTTTTTTTCTATTAGATATATATATTGATTGATCAAACTATGCCAGATATGTGAAATTTGAAAATATTGAAAAATAAATTCTTTCAAATATGTGATAGGTTTTTTTTTTCATTTTAATGTATTAATTATTAACGACAATAAATCGTTAAAAAATCATATTTTAAATTTTAGTGATGATTTTAACTGTGGGTAAAATATATACTTTTAACATGGTATCCTTGACATTGGGAAAGACCTCAAACTCATTCTGCAGGTCATACGTTCTTTTGAAAATTATCAGCAATTTGTAGTTCTTTTTGTCCCCCGAACCTGACTTTGTCAATAACAGGGAAAAAGAACATTGGTATATAAATGCTCCCTTTACTCTCTTTGGAATCACCTGAAAATATCTCATTGACAATCTTACAAAACACAGTGGAAAGCAATGTCAATTGAAGCTCTGGTTATGGTAGGCGGGGATTACATGGAATGTGCCATCAATCTTGAAGCATGGGAATGCTATGGCTCGGAACAGCCATCTCCATACCTTCTAGCCGATCAACAAAATCCGAGAACCGAGGTAGACAGAAAGGGTGCTGATAGGTTGGTAGACAATGGCAAGGTGGTTAAAGCAAAGATGAGGTAAAGGACTAAGGCAGTTGCTTCAAATAAGAAATTATTTCATTTCGAAATATTTTAGATAGTGTATCAAGTTTTTTTTTTTTTTTTTTTTTTTTATCTTTATTAAAATAATCAGGCTGAAGTGTAAATTATCTGAATTTTTGTTTCTGGCTTGCATGGATTCAACAATATGCATCAATTGTTTTGAAATTTCTGATAAAGAATTCAAACAAAGAGAGGCAATAAGAAGGTTGTAATCAATGAACCGAGATTTGCCGACATATCTCATAAGAGTCATTGACAAAATATGCTCAATCCATACTCATCGAGAAAGAATCCATCAACAAAAAAAATGCATAGTCTCCAGATTATTCGCATGGGGACGAAAAGGGTCCGAAGAATTGGTTGAAAAAGTTTAAGATTTTTGGTGTGGTGGAAGAAGTCTTGTTGTGTCCATGGTGAACCTTTTTTTTTTTCATATCAATGGTCTACTTGTCTCTAGCGCATATTGATGCCTTGACAATAGTATGTGCATAACTAAGAGCAATCTAATGCAGCAGTAAGAGATATGTCATATTCCATAAATCCAAGCATCGTCAACAAGTAGATATGCCATACTAGCTAAATTAAGTGGCTTCTTCAGTCAACTTATGGTTTAAAATAACACAAAGTTATAATAAAAACACTATTTGTGAACTGATTTCATTGCAGTTATTCGAATAATTATGAGTTTCAAAATTAGATGTGACCTACTTCTAATCCAACATATATAGAAGTGTTTAAATTATTGGATTAGGTTCCCAAATTAGATTTTAATAATATTTTTTAAATTACAAAAAAAGTGAATAAGAATTTGGACCTACGACCATTCAACTAACAACCGACTAATCAACAACTTGGAGCTGCTGACGAACAACAGACTTAAAAAAGTCAAATTTTGACCTGATTATTTTATAACTGAGGGACAAGCTTTATTGATAAACTGTCAAATTCATGATCTGGACACCAAGATATGAATGAAGATCATCCAAATGGTCTAGCAGTCTGCCAAGATTATTGAATGTTGGAGGATTGACCCGATTGTTTTCTATAAGATGTTAAAGGATTATTGAATGTTGGAATTACTCCAATGTTAATTTGGTTAGAAAATCACTCTGATATTACTTTGTTTGAAGTCGAGAGGATTAGAAATAAAATGAGATGCAGTAGATTACAATCATAACTTGAACTCTTTACATACTCATGCACCAATGGATTTTTGGTCCAATGATACTCCTTACTTTATAAAAATTTTGTTTTCTTAAGATTAAGGGTTCAAGTTCCCTTCTTCCTTTCCCCTTCCAAAAAAGGAAATAAAAAAAAAACATACTCACGCAACTTTACTTACTTCTAATACTAGGTCATATACCCTACTTATATTAGGCCATAAATAGCTATTAACATTATATTAAGGTATCTACATTTGCTCTTGTAACTACTAAAACATTAAGATTCACTTTCTCCACTTCTTGGGGAATTAACTCATTTCTAATACAATGCACTCGCCCACTACATGGTATATATGTTAACATACTAGTAGCCCTCTAACACACCTTATTAAGACACAATAAAAACATAGTAAAACTCTAAGGCAAGTTTATTTTCCAACTTAAAGTCTATATCATAAGGGAAAATGTGTTTTGTCCCGGCTTGATATCTCTCCTGAAATCTTAATGGAAGACTATAATACAAAACTCATACTCGAGGATGGTCAGAAGAGCAAGCCAGAATGTAACAGAAACTTTTCATTTCCAGCATGGTTATGAAAATTTTGATCCAAATCATAGGAGTATATTAGACAAATTGATCTAAGTCTTTTGAAAAAATTTTAGCACATAAGATATTCATGAATCATAATCCGAATCTTGTAGGATTGCAAAATCCCAATCCCAATTACAATTCTACCAATTCTAGTTATTGAGTTTATTTGGTATGCGCCTTTAGTAATTAAACTAGTTCAGCTCATATTGATTGTTTTAATACTTAAAAGATATGGAAATTAGAAGCAAGTATAATATGACAATCTATTTTACCATTAAGCACAAACGCGAATTTATTAGGTCATTAAGGATACATGGTATGCACTATTTAGTAAGCAGATCCATAAGACCCCCACCTTTTTTTTTCTTCTATTTTGACCCTGAATTAATCAGGCATATTCTACTACTATGATTATGTAACACCATTGAATATATCTTTTCTCTCTCCTCTCTCTTATGTCCTGTTATCTCTTCTCACATCTCACACCACACACGATCCCAGTGACAGTCTCAGTGACACAATTACAGTGACACAGTGACAGACACAATGACTCATCCACAATGATATCAACACATCCACATTGACGCAACAACCATCACATAAACACTATGATTTGGATCAAAATTTTGACAGCCACAATGATGGCCACAACGACCATAGTTATTAAATCGGACTGGACAATCAATGATTCACAGGTTCAACTATTGGTTTAATTGGTTAGATTGGTCGTATAATAAAAAAATATTAATAAGTAACATGTTTTATGTTGTAGAATATCAAATAAAAGCCCAAAAAACATTGTAAAGTGCAAACTATTCTTGATCCCTCATCGGAATCCCAAAGAAGAGGGAAGGACTGGCCTAATATTAATGGCTTTGAAGTCTAGCATTGAACTTGTCAAATGAAGATTTAATATCTTATTAAGTTCAGAAAGTGAACCGGATTTGAAGTCTGGCTTTATGAAAATTTTTAGGTTTTAACTGATTTGAATGGGTCGGGTACAATTAAACTGATCAAACGATCTATTTTAAGAATCGAACTAATTGAGATACTAATGACCGGTTAAGTGGGTTAATCTACCGATCCGGTTTGATTTAATAATAGGTTTTTATTTATTTATTTTAATAATAGTGACGACAATAGACACAGTGAAACAACCACTGTATACTGGGGTGAAACTGTGTTATGGCCAAGGGGGCTATAACCCCTTCAAGTTTTTAAAATTATGTTTTGGACCCCTAACTTTGTTTTTGGTTTTATTTTGCATGGTTCTCTCAAACTTTTAAAAATGTACTTTATACCTATCTTGATTTTTTTAACCCTCAACTATTGGTTTGAATATATTCAATCATTTAAAATAGTCATGTAGATTACATTTATCCAAAATTTAACAATTTGTGCATAACAAAATTTAGCGCTTCATATAAAAATATAATAAATTAGAATGGTTAATGATGTTTTTATGGTTAAATGATTAGTGAATGAATAAAGTGAAATTAGGATCATAGTCCAAAATATAATTAATCCAAACATTACAGAGTAATATCTCTGTCTCATTTTGTTCAATTTTTCGTACTTTGTAAAGACATGATGAGATTATGTTGTTCTTGAGCGATTATTTGATATAATTGAGCTTCAATTATTGTTTTTTAATCCAAACATTACAGAGTAATATCTCTGTCTCATTTTGTTCAATTTTTCGTACTTTGCAAAGACATGATGAGATTATGTTGTTCTTGAGCGATTATTTGATACAATTGAGCTTCAATTATTGTTTTTTTAATGGCTTGATTTGAAATTTGTTACATTCCCTTAATTTGACAAAAAAATTATTAATTTCATAAATTTTATTATATACGTGAGAGAGAGATTTGCATATGAGAGAGAAAATTTATGTTAAAAAAGAGAGATGTGTGAGAAAGAGAGAATGTAATAACTTGAACGGAGAGATCTCCGTGTAAGAGATAGAGAGAATTTAGATGAGAGAGATCTGCATGAGATTTTTTAAAATCTTTATTTATTTTAATTTATTTATGGTCTTTTGTCACCTGTTTGTCCCTTAATGACTCAAAAAATTACACCTATGAACTTATTGACCCAATGGATTATAACATTATGTAGACGTCCAAAAAACCCTTCCTGGACAATGATTTCAATCATTGAAGGAATGCCACTTTTATCAATACTAATATTACAACATTACCAACTTCCATCATGGGTGACATCATTACGAGCATATTGTAACCTATTACGAGCATATTGCATCATTACGAGCATATTATGCTTATGAGGTGAAGAGAAAACAAGGTCAACGGAATGATCACGAGCATATTGTGTTTTCAATATGTGTTCAAATGGAACTCCTTTCTGTTCAATGATTCTTAAGGACAATACATTTTGATTTTTCCTATGCTAAATCCTATATATATTTGTCTTGTTTCACCTCGTTTTCTCGAGAAATCAAAACATAATCTAGTTCTCAATATAGTATACACAGTTCACCTTTCCACATTGATACCATGTCAATCTCCATTGAAGCTTTGGCAATGGCAGGCGCTAATTACCTTGAATGTAGTGTTGATTTTGAACAGTGGGAGCACCGGGACTTGGATCCACCTCCACCGCATTTACTAGCGGAAGAAGATGCAGAAGAAGAACATGAAGTCATGAGGATGTCCGCAGAAGCTTCTCATAGTGGGAAGAAACATGCCCTAGATGATGAGGGTGGTGATGGTGACGATGACGACTTTAATCCCAATAAAGATGATGGGGATAGCTCCCGGGATAAGAAGATTGAGCTGCCCTATTTTACTGCTTGAGGTCAAGGCAGCGATGATGATGATGAGAGCCATTACAATTTACAAGACAATTGATGATGATCCATTGATGATCTCAGGACTTAAATATCATGATCTGAATTTTCCATATCATCACCAGAGAGATTTTCAATGTCCAACAATTGCTGTTGTTCCAAATTCTACCATTTGAGGGGGGATAGTAAAACCATTAGATAAGCTCGATCGGATATGAATTCTAGGAATAAAATCCTATTTTCTTTGATTAATTTTGTAATTACCGAATTTATTTACCCTTAAGGGGAATATTGGAACTACCATCTTTTAATAATAGAGTTGTTTCATCGGTCTTTAATTTTGGAACGAGGATCCTCGTATAAAAGCAATGATGTATCCTCGTATACTGATGTATTCAGTTTAAGCAGACAGA